ACACACACACACACACACACACACACACACACACACACACACACACACACACACACACACACACACACACAACTACGGTTGCAAAGGCAATAGTAATAATCTTTGTAACTGGTAGATTATTCCAAAGACATTAACAGACAGGTAGATTGCCTATTAGATATAGAGGCCAGACTTAAATCTCAGAAATGCAGTGCATATGTTGCATATCTCAATTCCATTACTATGGTTAGGGGTGTGCAGGAGCAGGTTTTTTGGTTTTATTGTAGAGGTGTCAATTTCCATCTCCACATCTGAGATTTGAATCTGCCTTTGATTTAGTAGAGTACATTAAACATGCAAAATAATAAGTGGGCAAAGGCACTTTTTCCTCTCCTCTTCTTTAGCTCTTAGTTGAAAGAGTAGAAAATACTAGAGCTCTCTAACCTCCTTTTTATTTTGAAATGATGTATAACTTTTTCGGGTGCTTCTGGCTTTTTGGGAATATGCAAAAGATCTCTCAAACTCTTTCATTTTAATTGGTTTTGCTGTGCTAATCAAGCAACTTTTTAGCAAATTTGAAGAGGATAATCCAATTCATAGGACTGAGACCTTGTTATAATTTACAATTATTGTTAAAATCCATAAGAGATTGATTGTTCCCTTAGTAAATAACAATCAGAGTAACAATGCTGAAATTTCAGTTAAAAAGCTCATGTTTATAGAGCTTGGTAAAGTACTATAAATAGTACTTACAAAATGACTTGTTTGCAAGCTGACCATGATAAAGAGGTTTCCAAACCCATATTTGGTAACAAAATAAACATGTATGCACAGGGACCAATGCAGTCTTTTCACCAGTCAGATCACTGCTGCAATCTACATACTGTTTTGTCTATTTCTGCATTTGGATTTATTTAGTTTTTTAAATTGCTTTGGGCTTGAGGCATGGGGGATGGGTGGAGAAATTAACAAATGCTAAATTTCAAGTGCAGGAGATTGCTTTAGACCTGGGTCTTCTCTTCCTGACAGCCTTTTGATGGTCTCTGAGCCAAATCCATGTGACCAGTGAGAAATTCCAGCTGTTGCTCCCTTATTTGGGGAAGGATCATTTTAAGTAATTCCTTAGGCTGCTCTCTTCCTGAACTGTCCTCTGCTGTCCCCTTTTCTGCCTGACTTCACTGGTGGTTGTTCCCTTTCAAGAGCCATTGCAACAGATGTTCAGTTTTGTGAACGGAGTGGGAGCATACAGGGATCATGAGTCTTTAAAGCTGATGTACCTCTTCAGCAAAGTTACACTAAAGAGCATCTAAACCACCATATATTCAACTTAATTGTAATCTTTCATAGTTTAAAAATGTACTAGTCTTTATTGCGCTTCATTACTTTGGATGTTGAAATTGCACCCACCTCAGAGGCTTTTTCTACCTGCATCAAATGGCCATGACTGCCCTTTAAAGAGGAAGTGCTGACTGTGCGTGCACAAATGTATTTAGTGAGTGCATCTTTACAGATAATCAAGTCAAGCATGCTAATCTAAGTGTCTTATCCTGACAGTAGGGTAGTCAGACAAGATGGGTGAAATAATATCTTTTATTGAACCAACTTCTGTTGGTGAGAGAAACAAGCTTTCAAGCTACACGGAGCTCTTCTTCTGTAAGGTAACCTGGCAGTTTGGGAATAGGTCAAAGAGCCTCCAAAATACTAGGGAGTGGTAATGAGGCAGAAGGTGTGCTGAGAACAGCCAGATAAAGTACACTACTCTGCACTTCTGTGAAACCCTTCATCTGGCGAGCTTAAAGTGCATTACAAGTATTCTTTAAGCCTTACAATATCCCTGTAAACTATGTAAATAAAATATAAGTAGCTTCCATATATTTTAGCTACCTATATATGTACAGATGGATGAACTGACTCCCATAAAGGATATATTAAAAGGATAAATAGAAGCCAGGAGTTCAGTTTCCAGTCTTCTCTTCCCATCCTCTCAGTAATTTAAGATGGCTTCTTTAAGGCCAAGTAACAGTAGTTGGAACATGAAGATAGCAGGTAAGTGGTTGTGATGTTTCCCCAGTTTGTAAATACATTCTAAACCTTTAAATTACGCTTTTTTTTTTTGAGGGGGCATTTTTAATAGTAAATAACATTTTTAAAAGTATTTTGTTTGATAAGGCCACTTATTACTTCTAATAACTATTTTATAAGTACTTTTGTAACTGGGATATCAGGGAAAATTATATACAATTACTGGTCTTTCCTGCACTTCATCTTAACTTTATGCTGGACCAATGGCCAGTTCAGACTTCTCAGAAAGCATTGTGCAGAATCAAACTTGGAGCATTGCATTTAAACCCTGAACTTGGTCTCAATATCTCACAACACTGGTTAGAGAAAATGCTACACTGCTACTTAGTATGCAAATATATATAATTAGTTTGCTAAAATAAGTATTTTAAACAGTACTTTGAAATACTTGTAAACAAAGCTATTAGACAGCTTTGCTATCTGTTATAGAAAGTCTTTATAGACAAGATTACAGTCTGTTTTTGCTACGTATGCAAAAGGTACCCCTGGAACAAATATGATTAATAACCTGCATCACAACTGTAAAGGTTGCAGGACATTGGCATTCCTTTTTTTGATGTGTATGCATGCGTGCACACACACTGTCTTCCATTCAGAATCTTTTCCAGAGACAAACTTGTGATTAATTGTGGGACCTAAGGTTTAATGCTTGTCAATGAGTTCTCAGACACTAAAATGAAAATGTGGTCAGTCCATAGTAAAAACAGTTATGCTTTTCCAGCATATAAAAGAAAACTCTAGTGCATGATATCATTTCAGCAGCAGTTCAATCTTATGTTGATGGATGATTCTCTTGCCTCCCTTTCCCTATCTGATAGGAATTTTTGCTTGTAGCTGAAACATTACCTGTTTTGAAACTCCACACACAAATTAATTCATCTCTTGGATTTCTGTAGTGCACACACTGTAGGGAACTACCCTAAGCCTCACTTAGTCAAATAAGGAATCTACTAACCCATATCTGTTGAGCTGTGCTCCTTTCTCTCACATGGATACAGAGTCTCAATTTAAAACAATATAGCAGATAACTATATTCCGGGGGGGGTGAGGGATAGCTCAGTGGTTTGAGCAATGGCCTGCTAAACCCAGGGTTGTGAGCTCAATCCTTGAGGGGGGCCACTTAGGGATCTGGGGCAAAATCAGTACTTGGTCCTGCTAATGAAGGCAGGGGGCTGGACTCGATGACCTTTCAAGCTCATTTCCAGTTCTAGGAGATAGGATATCTCCATTAATTTTATTTTCTTTTTATTTTAAATGTGATTTCTATAGGCTTTAAGGAAGAAGTGGGCAGTAGCCCACGAAAGCTTATGCTCTAATAAATTTGTTAGTCTCTAAGGTGCCACAAGTACTCCTGTTCTTTTTGCGGATACAGACTAACACGGCTGCTACTCTGAAACGAGGATAATAAAAGCTCCTCTCCCAGCTCTCCCTGTAGGCCCACACATTGCTTTTATTAAAGGTTTCTATGGTGGCTTAAGACTGGCATAAACACTTACCTGTAGCCAAAATGTTACAGGCTTTCAGATCTGCCCTGGCAGTAGTCACATTCCTAGCCTGTCTTCCATCCTTGAGTCAAGTTTAAGGGGAACTCTCATTAGCTCCTCTAGATATATTTCCCTTATCTGCCCACAAGTCCTCAATGGCTCTACCCCAGAGTCGAAGGTATGTTGAAATATGTAGAACTGCCCTTAATGGTCACTTATATACTGGCTTCAAGCAGCTACCAGGAGCTTTCAGAAAATACTGCAGTGTCCCACTCTTCAGTCCACCCCTCTGGTCACCTGGGGTTCAATACATAGCCCCGCTGAAGGCAGTGTGGCTCCATGCAAATGCAAGGTTCTGCCTATGTGGAACAATTTGCAAGTTTAAGACACAACTGTGTTCCTACTCTGCTCTCTGCACATGTGAAGAAACATAGATAATTCCAGCAAATCCCATCTTCCACCCCACTGAAATTTTCCCTTTCTTAATTACAAAAAAATAAAATGCTGCAGTATAAAAGGATATGGTTTACACAGTGACACTTCCTACAGCATAGTTATTTATCACTGTGTTGGAGGCACATAAAATGTGGATGTATTGGCTTGACAAATGTACGCTTTTCTTGTGTTCTTGATTTTTACATGCATATTTGTATGTCTGAAATACCTCTTAATTTTTCAGATGCATACTTCCACTGGAGGAGGGTTTTGTGACTGTGGGGATACAGAGGCATGGAAGACTGGACCACTTTGTACTAACCATGATTCTGGAGCAGCAAGCGCTACAAAAGCGGTACAAATAATACATAAAGAAAATCAGAGATGAATACTGTCTGTAAATCTTCAAGCTTTGTAACATGTTCCCTACCTGTCTAGAAAAGTTACCATTTGCTCAGCAAAAAAATATTTTTTTTCGGGGTTGTCCAGGTCTGTGTGCTTAGAATTAGGTTACATGTAGAGAATGTATCTTTCTAGGATGCCTTTAAACTTCAATATTTTCCTTGATAGGAAAGAAGCGAGGAATGATGGCAGTATGTTTGTCTGCTTCGGTGATGATGAAAAAATGCACTCAGGATCAGGCTTCTGGTTTTTAAAAGGGTAGACTACATTTTGAATCTGCTGAATGCCCTTTTCTAAATGTTAAAGGACAAGTTAAATACACTACATTAAAGAAAAACACTCTAGACACATTTTTTTAATCTTGTTTGTTGCTAGCATTCACAACATAATATAAGGCATGCACATGTAAAATGCAGTATCCTTGGGTTGGGATGAGGGGGGAACCAACCCAAACCCCTCAAAAACCAGAACTTGCAATCAAAAGGTGCTACACAAACTTTCAGACATCTAAGTCTGGGAAATGGAGCCCAGAAAAGCAGATGCTCCAAACCAAACAGTGGCTAAAGCATTGTTGTTCTGCTCCTCTAGGCTTTCTCAGGGCATTGATTGCTCATTGTTGCCTTCCAGCTCCAAATGCCCTGCAGAACTTCCCGGTCCCTAGTATCTCCTGTCCCAGGCTCCCAAGGGTAGCCTGCTTCCTACCGTCAAATGCATGTTGTAAATAGTAACAAATTTTTGAAAAGCTTTAAGATAGTTAAATGTCTGTAACTTAAGGGTAAAATCCTTTTCAGGAACATCATAGGGATTAAAAATACCTGACTACTAGCAACCCAAGAAAATCAGTTAGTTTTTAAACTTAAAATCCAAACACACTTTTTCCATACTTTCAAATATTTGCATTTCTTTAAGTTTTAACCTAAACTTTGTGTTTTGTGACTTTCTAATACACCTCTACCTCGATATAACACTGTCCTTGGGAGCCAAAAAATCTTACCGCGTTATAGGTGAAACCGCATTATATTGAACTTGCTTTGATCTGCCGGAGTGCGCAGCTCTGCCTTTCATCATCAAGCTTTCCAACTGTCTCTACAAACTGATACTTACCGTACAAATTGTTGCAGAGGTGAAATGTAGCAATTGTTTCATAAACATTGTAAAGTTAGCACAAGAAGTGAAGAATATATTGATTACAGGATTGGACCCACAGGTGTTTTTCTGGCATATGCAGTTAATTCTTAATTATCCACAAGCTTTATAGTAACAGTTCTCACCATTTCCCCAAAAGAAAAGAGAGGAACTAAACTGCCATTGCGGGAGGGAACACATCCTCTGCTTCATTCCCTGTAAGTTTGTAATGGGGAGAGAGGAAAGAGATCCTGTCCATTCTGGATTTTTTTGTTTTTTTAGTCCCTTTTTAGGGATCCAGAGAAACCATTAATTTACCAGGAGCTTTTTGGTATCTATTAAAGAGCTAGATATGGAGAGAGGTGCTCTATCTGCATACTTTCCTCACCTGAATGAGGGAGGGTAGAGGGAGGTATGGGGGGAGAGTCTTCTCATTAAGGGTTGATTGCCTTTTATTTGGAATACCCTTGTCTACAGCAGCCTGTTTTTATCCTTTTCCCAAAGGTCTGTGCTTGGTACAATTTACCCCTCCAGATGCCAAATTCTAACTGAAATGTAACTCAACACAACAGTGCTTATATAAAGCCTAACACTTATCCTTTCTCCTCCAAATTTAAGAACATAAGTAGCATAGTTGGAGTAGGAAAAAATTTAAACCCAGATATTTAAGACCTCTGATTCCCAGGATCTGTAAGAACCTGATTTCAAATGGTCACATGAGTGCAGATGAAGACATTTATAAAACCACCTGTAGATGTTTTAGATGGCAGCCTTGACTTGGAATTCCTCTTCTAAAGCTCATCAGGACAGGAAAAGTTTCTGGCAACTGTGGAAGCCATTGGTCATTTCAGTTCATTACTTGTTTCATTTCTGTTCCAGGTTTCCCACCACATGAACGATGTTTTATTTTGATTTTTTTTTTTATGCTACCTAGAAATCTATGGGCTAAGTGAAACTGCATGCTGCTTTAGGAAGTTTCCAAAGTCATGGTTCTTGACAATAGCAAACTACATCACCAATATGTTATACCCACTTCTATCAAACCATATACTATTCTATGTGAATGGAACCTGGATTTGAGATCTTGGTTTTAGTAATTCTCTTTTCTCCCCATTTTCTTTCCCTTTCTCCCCATACAACATATACATTCTGAGATTTGCAAGCACAACCTTAAAATTAATGGAAAATGTGTCCAGATATGCTAACCGCCTTGAAAATATGAGCCTCTGTGTCTAGGTCACAAATCTCTCTGTTTACATCTCTAAATGTGGATACCAATATAAGAAGCCATTCCATATATTCAAAAGATGTAGTAGTCCCTTGTTATTTAGGTCCCCCTTATTCAATCCTTCTTTTCATAGAGTATGCAAACAGACTGAAAGGATGAGACATCAGGGACTGCAGTTCAGGCCTGGATTTGTCATCTACGAACATCTTCATATGAGTCAGAAGCAATATTACCATCTTTTTACTTTTTAACCTAAGTTTCCTAACTCATTTAATGAAGCTTTTCACAGCCTGTGCTTAGATAAGAGAGCTTTACATGTTTTTCTGTATCTTATTTTCTTAACTAGTATCTTTAAAAATGCACCTATATCATGTTTGATTTGGTGGATAAAACTGCTGTTGGACTATTTTTGAGAAATCTTGCGAGTAGTGATAGCAAGGAATTGAAAAGCGGTGCATTTCACTTTCCCCAATGTCACAAAGAGGCTTCAGTGGGGCTATGGTCTTGTACAAAAGATTATATCTTTCTGGTTGTGCAGTTTTCATTCATTCTCTTCAGCTTCATTAGTCTTGCTCCCTGTAGTGTAAAGTGAATGAATTGTAGGGCAATATATTTACCATTATTCCTGAAGTGAATATACCTTCTAATAAGACACACACACACACGCACAACTGTAATATGATTTTAGCTCTGCATTGCATATAATCAACCGCAGTACTTCTGGCACCTTAGAGACTAACAAATTTATTTGTGCATAAGCTTTCATGGGCTAGCCCATGCACAAATAAATTTGTTAGTCTCTAAGATGCCACAAGGACTCCTCGTTGGTTTTTGCTAATAGAGACTAACATGGCTACCACTCTGAAGCTCAGTACTTCTGTTGTTTCTTTAAATTATATGGCAAGGATAAAAATAATCAGCTGTTATATTACCAAATCTTTTTTCCATTTTTGTATTTCTATATTCCATATTGATATCTTGTCCTATCTTCTTATAGAATTCTGAATGCCAGTTAAATGAAGAGCTAATGGCACAAGCAAAGAAGATGTTCCCGTCGGTATTAAAATACATTGTAGATATGACTATTTGGGAAGAAGAGAAGGAGTTGCCTCCTGTGCTCATGACCAGGTGGGAGATATTGCCAGCGATTTCTAAGTGTTAGAACTTCCATTCAGGTTTATTGGTACCCTATATAAACTTGCTAATGCCCAGATCTCTTTAAATAGAACTATAACATTCCGGACTATAATCTCTATAAAGGTACAACACTTCAGGGAACATTTTGCATATGTTAGTGTCCAATTAACCACAATAGAAATTGTGCAAAAATCCTCCTCTTCCAAGATGGAAAGAGGCCATTACTTTGATTGGTGATGAGAGCAGAAATGGATCCTAAAGTGCAAGGAGGAGAGGAGAAACAGCTACAGAATTAGCAGATGACATAAATACCTTGTTGTACTTGGGCTGGCTTAGTGTCCTAAGTAGACAGCTTGGGTGAGGTAGGATGGGGAGGGGCTTTTTTGCGTGGTTTTCATTACATGGTGCTAAAAACACTTGAGTCTTATCCATATACGAATACTAGCACTTACACTGGTGTCAGCAGCACAGTGTAGCTGCACAGTTTCTGGAAGCACTTACAAAACTTCCTAGGCCTAAAGGAGAATGACAGTTTACCGTGTCCTTTAAATCTGTTAAAAGCAACAAAGAGTCCTGTGGCACCTTAAAGACTAACAGATGTATTGGAGCATAAGCTTCCGTGGATGAATGCCCACTTCGTCAATGCGTCTGACGAAGTGGGCATTCACCCACAAAAGCTTATGCTCCCAGTACATCTGTTAGTCTTTAAGGTGCCACAGGACTCTTAGCCTGGATCTGTAAAAAGCAACAAACACGGCTACCCCTTTGATAGTTTACAGTTCTCAAAACTTCACTGGACTGACCTCCAGTTTGAGCTAGATGTGACAGTAAAGACCCAGTTACTAAATTCCTAGGTGGCATTAACTAGAAGGTCAATATTTTTATGCTATCAACTGCAAGTAAAACTAGCATGTAAAAACTTTCATTTGGGATGGAAGTGTAGTTCACAGATCTTTTAGTCTCAGATTTCCTCAAAACATGTTACTACTTTGTATCACCAGGAAGATCGTGATGCCCCTCTTGTAATAAGTGGTTAGTGCATAGTTTCCATGCTCTGTTCTTGTTTCGGTGAGAGGTGGAACTGCTTGCCTTTTTTTTTAGAACCTGAAGATGTTGAACTCATTTTTTCTCTACAATTTATTTGGTTATATTTGTGACTTTCTCCCAGGAGTTTGCAAGTGATTTGTTGCCAACATCTGGATAGGAGATTATTTTCATTTTCTCTTTGCTCATCTAATTAAATACTGGCTTCTTCCCAGTAGAGAGAAGACAGACCACTACTACTGTGTTCTTTTCAATGATGAACATCATTCTTATGACCATGTCATCTACAGTCTACAGAGAGCGCTTGGTTGTGAGCTCGGGGAAGCCCAGTTGCACACTACTGCCATAGATAAAGAGGTCAGTGCACTTTGTGTGAAATAGAAATTCTCTTTTTAAGGATTATATGCTACTTCTGTGTATTCTTTATTTCATTCTCTGATCGTAGTAATTGTTGCTGTGATGTTGGAGCATGGAAAGAGACAATGACAGATAATGCAACCTAATTGTTAATTGGTAGTTGCATGGAATATGAATACTATTAAAGAAGGTGATCTGGTTTTCGTATCATGCTTATTTGTTCAAGAACCAAACCAGGGTCCAGAGGAGGGGAGAAGCCACTGATTTCTTACCTGAGGTTGATCCACTTTCATCTGTTGTCTAACACAGCCAACTTTCTCTAACTTTGTTATAAAGGTTGGTTTTATCTTATCTGGTTTGCACTTCTTGGATGAGGAAACGACACATTTCAGACATACCACTAAAATAAAAATATATTGGTTTGCATATTCAATAGTATTTGGTCAAAATAGTAGGTTACATTGCGCGAACACTTATTATTATTTTTCTGGCTCAGTTTCTGTCCTCTAATAACTTGCATCACAACTTTAAAGATGATTAAAACCAGGTAAATTCCATGGTGAAGCTGATGCTGACACTTCCACTTTTTGTTTCTCAGAACAACATTAAACATCCCTAATTATCTGTTCAAAAACTACTTGGGGGGGCTGTCTGTATGCATCTCAAAATTATGAAGTGTGCACGTGCATACATGTAGGCAAAGGTTTTTTATATATATATATATATATATATATATATATATATATAACACACACACACACACACACACACACACACT